GAGAGAGAGAGAGAGAGAGAGAGAGAGAGAGAGAGAGAGAGAGAGAGGAACAGTGATCTGTCTGAAGCCCCAGCTACCTTCTCTTCCAGGCTGGAGTCTTTAAACATCAGTGAGAAAGCCTTGATATGCTCTCTTCTCAACTTATCGCCACTCCGTAAGTCGATGGCGCTCTCTATTCGCGTGTTAATCTCCTCGGGACCAGACTGGACATGCAAAGCTTGTGCAAGATGGTTTGGAAGCAGGTTTATGGAATGTCTGGTTAGGGCGGCCAGAGTCTACGGGGGGAAGCACATGCACACAGAATGAACCTGCTCTCCTCTTCGGTTTCATTCAAGTTACAAATGAAAGAGAACAGACACACGGTTACGTTCATTACATTCACAAAAGAAAGAAGAAGAAGACAATTAAGGAAGAAGGGAAGACCACAATGCAACGTCATGCATCTCCCTCTCATTCACAGCTAGTGGAAACTATGCACACGCTGTAACACAGTCTCAGTTGATGTCCACGGCTGTGATCGTAACGGGGAAGGAAAACACACAAAACATGAGAATTAAACAAAATAAAAGCAGAGATGGTGGACAAAAGAACACAGCTGAGAGGAGAGTTGCACCAAATGCAATAAATAGAAATGAGGATGAGCAAATAATCTGTTTATAGACGGGATCCTCCAATAAATAAAAAGAATTCAACTTCCAAAACGTGTTGAAACAAACTCCTAAAGTGCACGATGTTCTCAACCAGGGCAGCCTCGCATGATGTTAATATGCAATATTGTGAAAAGTAATGACAAAAAGGTTCTTTGGTTTACAAGAGTCTCCTCAGGCTTTAATTAACACTTCATCACTTCATCGTCTCTCTGAGAGAAACACGTACTGAAGGTCCTAACCGTCCACACTGATGGTCTGGCATGTGCACCTTTAGTCCATTACATACCCAATGTAAAGCTACACAGACATCGGAGGAGGAGACACATCTGATTGGCTTGTTGAATCACATGTCGTCTGGTCTAGACAAGCCCACAACAAGCTGACTGTGTCCCCGTTAAGAGAACACTGGAGTGGTCCATTGATGCGCTGCGTTCTGGACCCGCCTCACCCACCTGGACCCGCCTGGACCCGCCTCATCTGGACCCGTCTCCAGGTGAGACGGGTCCAGGTGAGACGGCTCCAGGTGAGGCGGGTCCAGGTGAGACGGGTCCAGGTGAGGCGGGTCCAGGTGAGACGGGTCCAGGTGAGACGGGTCCAGGTGAGGCGGGTCCAGGTGAGACGGGTCCAGGTGAGGCGGGTCCAGGTGAGGCGAGTCCAGGTGAGACGGGTCCAGGTGAGACGGGTCCAGGTGAGGCGGGTCCAGGTGAGACGGGTCCAGGTGAGGCGGGTCCAGGTGAGGCGAGTCCAGGTGAGGCGGATCCAGGTGAGGCTCCTGTGCGTCACTGAGAAGCTCTTGAGGTAGAAGTGGTGGAGGTCCCTCGTAAAGGATCGCACTCATTTTCTCAGAGCCGCTGACATTAGCTCTCCACCGCTAGCTGTGAGCTAAAGCAGCCGCGCGGCTACTTTGGACAAATGACCCTTTTGGAGTGTCGGAGCCGACGCTGAGCCGCCAGCCATTAAAGTCCTTCTGACAGGAAAGGGTGACGACGGACGAAGTGTGTGAGGATATTCAACACGTCGCTCTACGACTTCACCTCAGCTCGCTTAATTCAACACTTAACAGATGAAATCCATCACACTGAGATCATTAAAAGTCCATCTGCAGACAGCATGTACAGTATGTGGGTTTATTTGATCAGCCAGGGTCGTTCAGACTGTCACAGTCCGTCTTTACGGGCAGATTAATAAACATTATTGCACATGATGGGGTTATTATTGTTGCAGGTGTCCTTTCCTGCAGAAGGGGGAGGAGCTATAGAGTTTAATGGCCACTTCCTGTGGCGTTAGAAGAGAAAGAGACAGGAAGTCTGTCACTCCCCCGTCTGGAGAACAAGGAACAAGCATATTATATGAGCACGACTATCAGATAGATTCATAATATCAAGTAATTAACACACTTTGACAAGGACTCTTGATTTATCAAATAATATGAAATGGTACACAAAATAAAATATAGACTCCTGCCTGGCTACTAGAGTATTAACTGAGAGCAAATTGGCCATATTTGCTGTGGAAACACAGCAAAGATGAGGGAGAGGGAGCTGGAACTCGACTGCACCTCTGTTGCATATGAATGGGGACGCGTGGCCTGTTTGTCAAATCATTAACATATCCAGAGGAGCCAGAGACAACACACGAGCTTCATTATCATGAAGACAATCAGTATTCAGTGGAATCAGATGACCTCCATTATGTGTTCATGACACGTGGACCTTATAATCTGTTTATTTGGGGATGATGTCAGCTCACTTCTGTGGAGAATACAGTGTTATTATGTGTGAATGTAGCTGTTTTAATCAGAGATCTGCAACCTCAACCGAGCCTGAAGGGCTCATTTCAATACCCACGCTAGTTCAGCTTCAAGCGTAAAATATAGATGTTGCTTTTGAAAATGTCAGTAAAAGAATATTAATGTTGAAGTCATTATGTAGTAAACATTGTAAACATGAGTTTATGGTCTCAATCTCTAGTTTCAAGT